AGGGCAGGAATGCAGGCCCTCAGGCTGCTCGCCCACACCCCCTGCCTGAGCAGAGCACCCCTCCTTCCTTGCTTGTCTGAGGCGAACCCACCGCCCTGTGAAGTGGGTGTACCCCAGAACCCGGCCTCATGGTCTTCCAAAGGGTGTGTCCCGTCCCCATCATGAGATTCATGGAGGCAGAACGGGGGAGCTCACAGATTGGGGGAGGCATAGCCTGACTGTGTGGTACTCAACAGCAAAGGGTCAGTAAAGATTTGTTTGAATTGAAAAACACTATAGGCACACTTGCATTTGTGGAGAGTGGGAGAGGGAGCCTGGGGGGCGGAGTCAGAGGGAGGGGGAGAAAGAGAAACTAAAAGAATACACATCAGGGGGAGATCAATACTCTTTTACTTTTTTCTTTCTACTCTGATCATATATCACTCTTGTTATTTAAGCAGTAATTAGATAGGTAGGTGGCTGGGTGGATGGATGGATGGACGGACGGACTGACGGGTCAGAGGTTTTCGCCGGAAGAAAGGGGGCAAGAGCGCCACCGTGCGGCGATCTGGTGAATTGCTTCCGCCGGAAGAGCAGGGGCGTCTGAGTCGTGGGGTTGTTGGCCAGCAGGGCACTGCCCTGCGCCAGGGGCACGCTGCGTTTGCAAGCGGGACTCCCGCCACCTCAACTGCCTGCAGCTCCTGGGAAGGAGCTTGGGCTGGGAAAGAGCTCCACAATCTCCCCCCCCCCAAAACGACGGAGTCGCCGCGGGGCAGAGAATGGGAGCTCTTCTGGCAGAGGAAGATGGCCCAGGGGCGCAGCGGCCAGCTGGGCACCCCCAACTCCAGGGTGAGGACCACCCAGTCCATCCTCAAGTTCCGGGATGGGTGGACTCAGCTCATGTTTGTTGCATTCTTCATTCTGTGGCCATTCTAAGCCAAGGCCAGAAAGGTGCCCAGGGTCACACAGCCAATGCTAGCTGGTGCTGGGACCGCAGCCTGGACCCTGCTGCCGCCCGCCCAGCACAGCACCCCCTCTTCTCCCTTGCCGCTTGCTGAGCCCGCCTGCACTTGCCTGGGGTATCTCCACGGGGGGTAGGGGCTCTGCACACTGCCAGGCTCTAGCAGCTGCTCTCGCTTACTCGGCCACATCACCGAGGTCAGTGTGTGCCACGAGAGGACGCGTAGCATTCCCACCCAAAGGTAGTTGCTGATCCCATCGAGAAGCAGCTGAGTGCCCGCTGACAAAGACTCCAAGGGCTGCATGGGTGGCCCCAGGGATTGCGGGCATCTGGGAAGGCTTCCTGAAGGAGGTGCAAGCAGAACTGGGCTGCAAAGGAGGAGACTGAAGAGAAGAACGTTCTGGACATGGGGAACAGGAAGGGCAAAGGCAGGGGCTGGGATTTGGTTTCCAGCGGGAAAGAACGCGGCATATTCAGGCGACAATAAGAAGACACTTGGAAAGTGGAAGCCGTGGCCCAAACACCTACGTGGCCTTACTCTACGTAGTGACAACTGCTCTTTCCTCCCCAAACTCAACCCTGCCTCTTCGAGGTTTGGGCAGTCCTGGCCAATGAGACACCCATATCCCTCCCACCGGCCACAGTGATTGGTGCAGGGGTGATGCCTTGTGACTGGGCTGGGCCGATCAGAGTCATTCTGGGGCCTCCTGTTCAAACTACAGAGGAAGGGGCTTGCTTTCCACCGGTGTTTCTAAGATGATAGACTACGGCTGACGGTGTTGGCGATCGCAGCCCCAGAGAAGAAAGGAAAGCTGAGAGATGGAGAGAGAATGATGCATGCACGGATTCATTCATTCGTTCATCCATTCACTCTGTAAAAACATCACGAGTGTCTACCATACACTGTTGTCAGCCTTGGAGACTCGGCTGGGAGCCAGGCAAACGCCACCCCTGCTCTTCTGCTGCTTACATTCCGTGTGGGCAGTCAGGCCAAACAAGAGATCAATAAAAAGGTAATAAATCAACAGGACATTTTCAGATAATTATGATTGGCAAGAAGAGCAAAGGGTAGGATGATGGGGCTGAAAGTGGCTGGGGTGGGAGGGTCCTGCTTTAGTTAATGGCCAAGGAAGTCTGTCTGCCGAGGTGACATTGCAGCTGAGACCTGAATGAGTCAGCCATGGGGAGATCTGGAAGTTAGGCCATCCAGGCAGAGGGGACAACAAATGCAAATGTCCTGAGGCAAGAACAAATGAGATTCAGAGAACGTCATCTGAGCATCTGGATCCAGCCATGCCTGAAGCCGGAATTGTTTTGTTGTTGTTATTAAACTGGTATAAGTTGGGTTTCTGCACGTTACATCAGAGAAAATGCTGTCATTTGAAAGAGATCTGACACTGTGAAAAACACTGAATGCTGAGCTCCGAAGCTGAATTTTGTGTCCTGTTAGGTAAAGGGAAATGATTGAAGGTTTTAAAATCAGGGAGGAATCTTCCTGATTGTGCTCCTTCTTTCCTCTCTAGGTTCATCTCTCCCTCCCCTTCTTCTGCCCTTTACCATCCACCCGTACTGAACTTGGCTGTTGTCACTTCCCCGAAGGTCCTGCCTCCAGCTCTTTGCACACGCTGTTCTTTTTAGACATTCTTCCCTACTTTCCTCTTTCCAACCAAGTCAGCCTGGCATCAGCCTAGGTGTCACTTCCATTAGCTTCATTAACTCTCATTACTTTCCAAGTCTGCATTCATTTCATTGTGCTCCTTTGCAGGGGCACCTGGGTGGCTCAGTCGTTAAGCGTCTGCCTTCGGCTCAGGTCATGATCCTGGGGTCCTGGGATCGAGCCCTGCATCGGGCTCCCTGCTCTTCGGGAAGCCTGCTTCTCCCTCTCCCACTCCCCCTGCTTGTGTTCCTTCTCTCGCTGTCTCTCTCTGTGTGTCAAATAAATAAATAAATAAACAAATCTTAAAAAAAAAAACAAACCTGTGCTCCTTTGCATACCATGATTACATCACAGCACTTATCAGCCCAGTTTGTAAATTTCGGGGTACTCTGTCCCACCTGCTAGACCAGGAAGGTGCCCACGATGGCCCCCATCTGGTTCTTGTTGGAAACCCCAGCATCTGGTACCTAGCAGGCACTCAGTAAACATGTATTAGCTGAGTTATAGACTGGAGGCTTTTATCTCCCAAAATTCATGTTGAAGTGTGACGGTATTTGGAGGTGAGGCCTTTGCTAGGTAATTAGGTTAGATGAGGTCTTGAGGATGGGGCCCCCATGATGGAATTAGTGTCCTTATAAGAAAAGGAACAGAAGCCAGAGCTTAAGCTCTCTCTCACTCACTCACTCTCTCTCTTTTTCTCTCCCTCCATCCCTCACTCCGTCCCTCCCTCCCTCTCCATCTGCCTCTCTCCCAAGTGAGGACTCAGCAAGGAGGTGGCCTGCTGCAAACCAAGAAGCTTGTCCTCACCAGAAACAGAATCTGCCAGCACCTTGATCTTGGACTTCCTGGTCTCGGCAAGAAATAAATGTTGTTTAAGTCACCTGGTCTGTGGTATTTGGTTATGGCAGCCCGAGATGACTAAGACAGGGAGGAAGGCAGGAGGCAGAGGGAAGAAGGAGGAACCTGGAGCAGGACAGGTTCCAGTAGTAACTTGAATAAATGAATGAATGAACTGGCACAAGGATGCCCGCAGTCATTTAGTACTTGGGAGGGGCTAAACGAAGACACTTCTTCTCCAGGGCTGCGTACTAAAGAGAGTAGTGATGGGGCGCCTGGGTGGCTCAGTCGTTAAGCATCTGCCTTCAGCTCAGGTCATGATCCCAGGGTCCTGGGATCGAGCCCCGCATCGGGCTCCCTGCTCCGAGGGAAGCCTGCTTCTCCCTCTCCCACTCCCCCTACTTGTGTTCCCTCTCCTGCTGTGTCTCTGTCAAATAAATAAATAAAATCTTTAAAAAAATAAAAATAAATAAAGGGAGTAGTGTTGGAGGGGACCCCGAGACTGGGAGGTTTCAGGCCACAAAGGCCTGCCTGATGCTGCATGGTGGTTCCAGGCTGCAAGGTGTGTCCAGGTGACTGGACTGCCCTCCCAGAGAGGGGTCCAGGTGGCTCCAGAGAAGGCCTGCTTTCACTTCCAGGCTGGGGTCCTGGCCTAGCAAGGGAGTCTCTGCATCGGTTACTAAAGGAGAAAGATAAAGACCCCAAGTGGGATCAGAACCCCAGAGTAGCATGTACCCAATTCGGCAGCTTTACCCCGAACCACGATATGCCCCAAATGAAGAAAGTGGTTGGTAAGGTAAGCCATTAAAAGCTGCAAAACCATTAAATATGTTCATAAGACCCGCAAGAGAATTTGGGAGGCACTTAAATAAAACAACAGCCAGTGGAAGAAGAAAGACCTGATAAGCAAAACATGGATGTGCCTACATAATGGAGGGAGAATGGGAAGAAATGGGATTTTTTTTTCCCAAATGTCCTTGGATTCTAAGTTTTCTGCATAATGACAAACAGTTCCAGTTGACTGTTGGCAATGTGGAACATCCAAAGAATAGTCCAGATGTTCCCACACTCTCTCTCCACCAAGGAGAGTCCAGGGGCTGAGGGTGATGGTTGGGACCCCAACCCCCGCAGCATTGCGCAGGCCCATCTGACCTCCAGGCTGGGGGCGTAGCCGCAGAGGAGCCTCGTCCAAAACCCCCTTTCTCCTCTTGTCGGGGGCCCCGGACCTGCAGTTTAAGTTGGGGCTTCATGTCGCCAAACTTGTTTTCTTTATGAGGGAAACATAATCTCTCCAGCGCTGGGCTGGAAGAGCATGCAAATCAGGCTAACAGTACTCTGTTCTGTGAGTTCTCCTCTTATGCAAATCCTCCTGAAATAAATCAGGCTTGCGGGGCAAAGGAGGAAAAAGGTGGGGGATCGGGGGTTGGGGCTCCGTGCCAAGCGGGATGTGATGTCCGAGCCTGGCTGTGCCTGTGACCGACCATGGGCCTCCCCCGTCTCCTCCGCGGCCGCTAGATGGCGGCACATGCAGGGTCTGGGACAGACCCGGAATGCACCTGCCGCGGGGCTGAGCGGGCTGAGCGGCTCACTGACGCTGGGAAGCACCTGGGCTTCTCCTTCACCTCTTCTGGGGTCAAGGCTGGGGAAGCGTGAATTCGGCTTTTCTGCAAGGACAAGAGGGACCTCTCTAAGAGCGGTCTGCCGTGGCTTTGGAGCAGAGTGCTCCTGGCTCGGGTTGGAGGGGGAGAGACAGACACAGAGGAAGGAAGGAAAGACGAAAGAGTTTATGCAAAATCAAGTATATAAGTGTTTTAACTTTAAGTTTAAAAACGGAATGATTTAGCCATCCTTTCCTCTTCCAGGAGGCGTTAGTTAGAATGTCCCGGGGCAGAGCGCGGCTCCCCGGGTGGAGGGCTGGCAAGAGCCCGAAGTCGGAGCCGGGGAAGCTTTGATAAGCAAATGCAGCCCCGCGCTCGGGCGCTCTCTATTGGCTGTTCCTTCACCGCCAGATTTTGACACAAATAATCAGATTGAAAATCAAGGAGGGGAACAGAAGAGGGGGAAAAAAAAAACCAGAGAGAGTGAGAGGGAGAGAGGGAGAGAGAGAGAGAGAGAGAAAGAAGAAGTATCTATTTGAGCAGAGAGTCCGAGGTTGACAGAGTGGAGCCGATCCCCAGAGGCTGGGAGGTTCCCACCAAGACCAAGACTGCATCCAGGACCAGACGGCAGAGCTAGGGACAGGTGAGTGCTGTCATTCCGGCCTCTTCTTTTTCAATTTGCATATCTGACTTAGATTGTTTCCAGGCAGGTCACCCAGGCCCTTTGGCAGTTACAGGAAGAATTAGGTGGACTGGGGTATCTCTTCCACAGGATGCAGCTTTCAGCCCTTGAACCCAGCAGACAGGCGGTGGTGGGAGGCAGAGCCCTATAGGAGTTCCGCCCTCTGCCAACTGTGCATAAACGGCCTTTCCAAAACCCGGCTGGGTCTGACGGTGATCACCTGTGTGCGCGAGGTCATACCCGCAACCCCAGCTCTCCCAGGGACCTGGGCAGAATGTGGGGCAACACTCATTCAGGCACCTGGCTTAGTGTGGCCCTGTCCCCTCTTCACCCTGAGCTTCCCTTGTCTATAAAATTAGAGTGAAATTGAGAGGACTCCGAGGGAAGTTCTACCCCCAGCATCCCACACTCCCCGGTGCCCTTCACCCAAGTTCCTGGGGCACTTTGAGAGTGAGTGCCCTCCCATCCAGAGCCCCGTTGAGGGGAGAAGGGAAAGTGCCTTGTCCACCACCCCCAGCCCCCGGCCTCCAGGAACAAGAGGGCTGCAGAAGGGCAGGTGGTTTCTCAGTCTTTTCTACCTAATTTGGGAAAAAAAGACCAAGTTTAGAGTCTGGGCATCTGGTGCCGGCTCTAAAGTAAGGCTTGTTAAGAGGGGAGTCTATAGAATAGCTGTGGATATTTGCTTGTATACATTTTTCTGTGGGGAAGGTCTGCAGCTTTCATGAGTTTCCTGGAGGGGGCAAATTAATTTGCAGGCTCTGAACGTGGATCTGACAGCAGCTAGCTAAGATGCACCTGCCCGTGGAGGCTCACACCTCCTGAATAGTTATCAGTAGGCAATGAATGGGTAGAAGGTTTCAGTCTTAGTGAGGTGGCGAGTCTCTTGTCCTCAGAGGTGGTGCACAAGGGACTCTTTTATTTTATTTATTTATTTTTTAAGATTTTATTTATTTGACAGAAAGCAAGACACAGCGAGAGAGTGAACACAAGCAGGGGGAGTGGGAGAGGGAGAAGCGAAGCAGCCTTCCCGCTGAGCAGGGAGCCCGATGCGGGGCTCCACCCCAGGACCCTGGGATCATGACCTGAGCCGAAGGCAGATGCTTAAGGACCGAGCCACCCAGGCGCCCCACAAGGGACTCTTTTAATAAGGAGATGTGTCAGGTGTCTTCCAAATCAGGATGGGGGGGTCAGAATGCTGGTTTCCCTGCAGAAGGTGCCTGGGGAGCATCAGAAAGCCGTATCTGCCTTGGGTTTGATGGATGGAGTTACTCAAAACGAGTGCAGAACATTTTCTCGAGGCTTTCAGGAGGGCAGGTGAGGTTGGGGTCCTTTTGGAGAGCACAAGGACTCTCGAAGATTCTGGGACCTGTCGCCCCTGGGAAAATAGCCTGACCATATATGATTTCGTCCCTTTTCAGAAACAACAAAAAAACCTTACCCCCTCCTTAAATTAGAGGGAGGTTTTTGTTGTTGTTGTTGTTCATTTGCTTTCAGGAATTCAAACCAACGGGAGCTGCTCCAATTCAGAAATGTCCAGGAAATGTTTTGTTCACTCATTTTTGTTTTTATTGTGGTAAAATACACATGACTGGAAAGTGACCATTTTAATCATTTTTAAGTTTACAGTTCTGTACCATTAAACGCATTCATAATGTTGGGCAACCGTCACCACCGTCCACCTCCAGAACTTTCTTCATCTTCTCAAACTGAAACTCTGTCCCCATTAAACATGAACTCCCCTCCCTTTCCCGTCCTCCGGCCCTTGGCTCTCACCACTGTCCTTTCTGTCTCTATGAATCCGACTTCTCGAGGGACCTCATATAAGTGGGGAGTCCTACAGCATTCATCATTTTGTGACTGGCTTATTTCCCTTACATGGGGTCCTCAAGATTCATCCATGTTGTAGCCTGTGTCAGCACATCCTTCCTTTTTCAGGCTAAATAATGTTCCATTGTATGGATACGCCACGTTTTGTTTCTCCATCATCTGCTGATGGACACTCGGGTTGCGTACATCTTTTGGTTATCGTGAATCATGCTGCTGTGAATTTGGGTGTACAAATATGTCTGAGTCCTTGCTTTCAATTCTTTTGGGTATAAACTCAGAAGTTGATTCACTCACGTGTGACATTGCAGTCTCTGAACTTAGGAAGAGCATTTGAGAATTGCTTGCAAGTTTCAAATAAAAATAACGACCCCTTTCTGCCGGGGCCCCTAACATGAAACAGGCCCATTTCCCTTAACTGCTACATGGAAAGGGTTTTTTTTTCGTTGTTGTTGTTTGTTTGTTGTTTGAGTCACGTCTTTAAACATAAAGGAAGTCCAAAGGGTCCTCTGTCACTGACTCTGAGAAACAACAGTCTTACCCAACCCTCCCAAAAAGGGAACCCGAGTGATGAGGTTCTTAGTCAAGACAGGTCAGTCCTTCGGTGAAGGTCAACAAACTGTGCATGGGATTTTAGAGCAAAAGGGAAGTTTAGAAATCTCTTAGTCCAACGGTCCCTTTTGAGAGATAGGAAAACCAAGCCCTAGGTTGGAGGCCGACGTGGTCAAGCTCAAGGTCACAAAATCAGACTCAGCCCCACGGGAGGTCCGTGGCGCCCCGTTATGTGGAAGTCACCAGGCTGTGGCTTCGAGTCCACCTGGACGTAGAGGTGCGGGGCCGAGATTCTGACTCGGGGTCAGAGCACCCTCTATCGGGATGGAGGGTTTGGAAGAGATGTTAACAGAAAGTCTCTTTCCGGAGGTCGATACCATCAAGGCCTCTGTTTCATGAAGAAATCTTAGGGTTCTTTCACAATCTCTGCTCTGAGCTCTTTCTCAGAACGGTCCGTGTGAATCAAAACGGTGTGGTTGTTAATTAACTACAGTATAGGTGATTGGTTCCTGTTTTTTTTGTTTTTTTTTTTTAACTCTGCTAACAGGGGCCAAAAGGAAGTTCTCCTGGTGTGTTTGGCCCCCACGGGGAGCTTGAAGGCTTAAAGCCATGGGGTTGGCTGTGCCATTCTACCGGGCTTGGTGGACAGAACATTCTAGAGAGGGAGAGGGAGGGAAACCGGGGGCTCTGAAGGGGATCCCTAGAGTGGGCCCTGAGAGTCGCTTTCCTCCAGCCAGGGACCCCGGAAGCCGGGACTATGTTGTCCTGACTCCTAACCAGTTGACCTCTATGGTGTCCTCAGGCTCTGAGCCCAAGGGAACAACAGAGCTTCCTGGAGGAGGTCTTTCTCTCCGACCTCTCCCCGCAAAACTCTCCAGGAACCCATGTGGAACTTCTGGGTTCTAGAAAAGACAGAATTCAAAGGAATTTGATTTTCCCATCATCTTGCCCCACCAACCAGCCTTCTCTCCCTGCTCCAGGCAGGTTGTCTTCATGGGTGGCTGGAAAGACCACAGGTGCTGATGGGCAGAGCCCTGGGCCAGGAGTCAGGTCCCAGCAAGACAGGAACACAAGGCCTGGACGAGCCACTTTCCTCCCTCAGCCTCAGTTCACCCTGTGAGCCCGGAAGACAATGCCCCCATGGGTGTCAGTTTTCATGGCGTAACGCACACCAGGGAGCTCTAGACACCTTCCTTAGCCTGTCTGCGCACTTGCCTCCGCCCCGAGTGCCCACCGCGTGTCTGACAGTTGAGAGTATAGAGGCGGGGGCGGGGCGGGGCGGGGGGCGGCGGGCAGCCTGGGATCTGCCTGGGATCATGAGCCAGTCTCCAAGCCTCGTTCCTCCTCTGTGAAATGGGGCAGTAGCCCCTCAGCTCCCAGGTCCAAACTCACGGAGCTAAGGCTACGCAGATTCTGGCTGCAAGAAGTATCTCCTGGCATTCCAGCAGTTTCATGCCGACCTTTGGTTCTCGTTGGCTTACTACTAAAACACTATGTAAAAAATAATAGATCATCTTTTGATAGAGAGACCGTGGCCCTTGGAGGCTCCCCCAGAACAAAAGGCAAAAGCACGCAGCCCCCGCCTCTCCTGTAGGGGGTGTGTGTGGGGGGTCTCCTCTGGCTCTGCCCAGGGTCTGGCCTCCCCAGGGGACTCCTGGACCCAAGAGTTAGAAGGGGGAAGGGGGAGTGGTGAGAGGGGCCCCGGGGGAGGGGAGGAGGCAGAGGAAGACTGCCCCGGGCAGATAAGGCCACGGCAGGCTTCCCGACAAGCCTGGGGGAGACAGCAGGCCAGGCAAGCCTTGGGAGGGCAAAATCTGACAGCTGGACTGGACCCCAGAGCCTTCAAGTCCCACCTCTTCATTTCAGATCCCAGAGGGGAAGGGCCTGGAGCATGTCCCTGCTCCTGGTCCCGGGCTCATCCCTGTCCTCGGAGCGCACCTGCTCTGGGCAGGGTACTGGAGATGCGGCCAGACAGGACAGGGCGTGGGCTGTGCCAGCCTTCCTGAAGCTTCTCCTCCCGCGGGCTGTGAGGCCACCACCTGCTCAGTGCTCCTGCAGCCCCAGCGCTACGCCGAGCACTTTGCACACTTGTTTGTAATAGAGGTCCTTTCTGCCCAACAATGGCAGGAAGGTGGCTTGTGATGCCCGTTTAGCAGATCTGGACACTGAGGCCTATGGTGAGGAGGGCAGGCCCTAGGATTGCCCAGGGTGGAGTGGCCTCACCAGACTCCTGATGCCCTGGGGGCTCTGGTGAGGGGCAGGCAGGCCTGGGCACAGCTGGGGGCCTCTGCCTGGCTTGGGGTCACCCTGGGGGAAGGGGTGACTCCCTGGGCCTGCTCCAAAGGCAGGGCTCCAAGCTGCCCTCTCTAATCTCCCTCCGCACAGCCGCTCCTCGCCTTGGCCTTATCACCCAGCCCTGGCTCTTGTTGGAGCAGCTGTAATCCCTTTCCCGCGCTTGGCCCTATCATCCCTGCAGCCCTGCATGGCCGCTGGCCTGCGGAAGGGGGCTCCGGCTCTGAGGCCTGGGAATGGGACCCACAGAGGAGCCACCAGCAATGCCACTGACGAAGTATTTCCTGAACTCCTGCCTGGGCCTGGCCTGGGGTGGTAGAGAGGAGAGAGGACCACTCAGATGTTCTCTGTCTCCCAGGAGCCCTCGGGGGAGCCTCACGGGCTGAGCACAAGGAGCCTCGAGGGGCAGGAGATGCTCTTCTCATGCGAAGCCAGGGGTGTCAAGGTGTTCAGGCTGGTCTGGCTCTACCACGCCACCAACGCCCGCCCAGGACCAAGGGCATGTCCTTTTCCTGACTTGGTCCTCCGTGTCTTCCCCCACCCCCTGACTGGTGGGTTCGGTACCATGCAGCTGAGCTGGGCTGCCCACTGCTTAGTTCTTACAGTTGGTGGACATTGGCCTCTTCCTCCATGTGCACAAAATGCCCTCCGTCTTCCCAGTGGGGTGGCATGGGGGAGTCCTCTCGGGCCTTGAGCCCCACACGCAACTCCAATCCCCCACAGCCCCACTCAGAGAGAGAGAGAGAAGGCTCCTCCCTCTCTGGGCACCAGACTCTGGGCTGAGGCCACGGACGAGGGGCAGCCCTGCTCTGGGTGCCTCAATGCCGCAGTAATGTGGCTTTCAATCGAGGTGCCCCCTTTGTTGCAACCCGCCTCCCCTGCCCCCCCCCGCCTCCCCCCCGTAAGCACTAAGCACATAAGATGCACTCGCCGGCACTACCTGCCTGGGTGCTGCACCTTACAGAAAAGGGAGTAGGCCCAGAGAGGTTAAGCATCTGCCCCAAAGTGCACAGCGGGTGAGCTGGAATTCTAACCCGTGAGCATCTGACTCCAAAACCTGAGCTCAGACCACCCCTTCCGTGGCCTCTGGATGCAGATCCCCCAGGGGCGCAAATGCACCTTTCTGGATGCCGGGGCCACAGTGTCATATTTGAAGCCACCCCTGTCCTTCCTTCTCTGCTCCCAGTGTGATTCAGGGCATGTGGGCAGGAGCAGACTGACCCTGGGGATTTTGTAGAAGGTGGGTGTATTAGTTTCCTAGCAAGGGAGTAGCGGAGGGAGGTTAGGATTTGTAGCCACTGTAGCCAACTACCAGAAACCAGGTGGCTTAAAACAACACAAAATTTATTCGTTCAAGGTTCTGGAGTCTAGAGATCCCAAATCAAAGTGTCTGCAAGGCCAGTTCCTTCTGGAGGCTCTGAGGGAGTTTGTCGCGTGCCTCTCTCCTGGCTTCTGGTGGAGAGAGCGATCCTCGGTGCTCCTCGGCTTGTGGGCGCGTCCCTCCCATCTCTGCTCCCGCCTCCAGATGGTGTTCTCCCTGTGTGTCTGTGTCTGTGTGCCCAAAGTTCCCTCTTCTTATAAGAACCCTGGACATACTGGGCTTAGGGTCCACCCTAACTCAGTATGACCTCATCTTAGGGTGGTAAAATCTGCAAAGACCCTATTTCCTCAGAAGATCCCATTCACAGGTAGACATGAACTTCTGGGGGACACCATTCGACTCAGGACAGTGGGTTCTGATATCAGGAGGAGGCTCTAAAATACAGAGACTGCTGTCTTCTTGCCCCTTCCTAACTGTTCTCCCCCTCTCCCCTTGCAGGTGTGGGGTGCACATTTACCATGCCACGCTCCTTCCTGGTGAAGAGCAAGAAGGCTCATACCTACCACCAGCCCCGCATCCAGGAAGATGACCCGATCTGGCCTCCTGCCCTCAGCCCCCGTGAGTCAGAGAGCCCCCTGCGGCACCCACCCAGGGCTCCCTGCCCCCTGTGTTGGGGATGCAGCAGCATCCCTTCTGCGAGCAGAAGCTCAGTAAATGTTGGTTGAACGAACGAATGAATGCGCCCGTCTCTTCTGACCCGTTGGGATGGTGGGAGCATCGGGATCGGAGCTGGTCCCTAGCAGCCGACATGTGGGTCCTAACCAGACTCAGGAAAGATCTAGGGCTGAGGCTGGGTGCTCAGAAAACTAACACCGGTCCAGGAGTTCTCCTCGGGGGCGTTGCTTTCGGCCTCCATCCTGGGCAGGGCCCGTGCGTGCGAGCGGCTGGGGATGGCAGCAAGTGCGTCTCTGGGTCCCCATCCTCCTAGGGGCTGTAGCTGGCGTCTCTGATGGTCTTGTCTCCCCACAGGGGCCAGAGACCAGGTCCTGAGCAATGATCCCGTCCTCAACACCCTGTTCCCAAACCAGTGCCTGACCTGGACTGACCTCAAACGGGAGCCAGAGCTGGAGCTGGATCAGAGCCTGAGCAGGACGGCCTTGGTGCCAGGTACCCAGGCCGGGGCCACTGGCCATTCCCCGTCAGCCAGTGCAAGTGGAATGGAGGGAGGATGGGCTCATGGAAGCAGGGATCCTTGGAGTTATGGAGTCAGGCAAGATCGACAAGGCCATCCGGATACAATCTGGGCTCTCCAGCTTCTGCCTGGACCCCTCTAGGACGGGGAGCTCACTCCCAGATGAGAGCTTCTGTGTGGCAGGTCAGAAGAAGTGGTGGGCAGGCCAATGCAGTGGGTGAGGTGGGCACTCTGCAGGTGCCGGGGACCTGAAAAGCCGAGAAGCCACGGTGAAGACCCAGACCCTCTCCCACAGTAATACTTTGGGCTATGCACCACAATCCTCAGCATGAGGTCATCAGGTGGAGAGTGGTGGGGAGCAGTGCCCTAGTTATCAATGAATCACCACCTTACGCGTGTCGTACTCTCCACAGAGGGCCCTGCTGTAATGCCCCGATCCCAGGACAGGGAGTCCGACTCACCCCCGTTCTACAAGCCCAGCTTCTCCTGGGATGCCCTGGCCTCGTCCTACGGCCACAGCTACCGGCAGGCCCCCTCCACCATGCAGTCTGCCTTCCTCGAGCGCTCCGTCAGCCTGTACGGCAGCCCTCTTGTGCCCAGCACTGAGCCGCCCCTGGACTTCAGCCTCCGCTGCTCCCCGGGCATGGACACGTACCACTGCATCAAGTGCAACAAGGTGGGCAACTTGGGTATGGGTGGGCTCGCGGGCCCTGCTCTGCGTCCCCTCTCCAGTTCCCTGGCAGCTGGGTGCTCCCTGTGCTGTGAATCTTGAGTCCTTTGGTGGGGTCGAGGGTTCAGCATGCTCGTCCTCACCATGAGGACGAGGACCATGAGCCCTGGCTGTGTGCTAGCCCTGTGCGAAGCACTTGACATGCTTGAGCCCTGGGAAGCGGACAAAAAGCTCAGTGAGGTTGAGTCACTGGCCCAAGAGCGCACAGCAAGTAGACATCAGTACCAGCATTCAAACGTGGCTCTGGCAAACTCCTGGCTCTTAACCCCTAGGCTATTCAGCCTCTAGCTAGGGCCAGGAGGGGCCTTTTACATGCTCCCACAGCCCCCACTTTCTAGACAGGAAGCCAAGCCACAGAGAGGGAAAGGGACCTTCCCAGGACACACAGCACTCCGGTGCTTCTCCTGCTTTATGGCTGTCTGTGCCTGGGCATGGAGGGGGTGGGGCTGGCTTTGGGACCCAGGCCCACCTCCTTCTCCACAGCCCCCAGTGGCCTCACGCTCTGCCCCCTGCCCCCAGGTGTTCTCTACCCCACACGGGCTCGAAGTGCATGTCCGCCGCTCCCACAGCGGGACCCGGCCCTTTGCCTGTGACGTCTGTGGCAAAACCTTCGGCCACGCCGTGAGCCTGGAGCAGCACACACACGTCCACTCCCAGGTGGGCAGCTGGCCAAGACCAGGACCCCCCCCCCTTCCCATTCCTGCTCTGTGCCTCCCGCAGGAAGCCTAGAGCTAGGGCTGGGTCTCTCACCCTGCCTCTGAAGGTGACACAGATCAAGGGTCCTTTACCCCCTCATCTGGGTCCCCCAAATGCTCTTTTTAAAATACATATATGCTATATATATTTAATATATGGTTTAATTTGTTCTTGATAATGAATAATTATGCTTTAGTGCTAGCTTCCGTTATAGTTTTACCAACACACTCCCTGATGGACCAGATCAGCTTCACGTGCTGTTGGGAGAGGCTCCTGGCCCGGTGGGATTTCGGGGGCAGAGAGATGTCTCTGAGGCTCAGAAATGATCCTGCCGTCTGTGTGTTCAGGAGAGGTGTCCTCAGCTTCGAGGCCCCCGACTTTTAGAATCTTGGGGTCAGGCTTAAACGTTCATCTTGTCCCACTTAAGCCCTTCTTGAATCTTCCATTCCAGGGAAAGTACCGGAAATGACCCGAGTTGCTAACACAGGAGTCGATAAAAGCTCAGGCTGGAGAGGCAGGATACAGTCATGAGCGCTTCCAACTGTGAACGCACACCACGTGCTAGTAGTTGCCCGCTCCGCTCTCTACACTTTGAGCTCATTACTGCTGTTCTCATGTACAGATGAGGAAACTGGGTCTCTAGAGGTTAAACGACTTGTCTAAGGTCACGCGGCTTCTAAGGGGCAGAAGCCAGAGTCGTGCCCCCATAATACAGACTCTTAACCAAAGCACTGCGAAGCCCATGACCATGCCCCAGATCAGTCGATCTATCAGTCAGTCAACAAACGTGTGTTGAGGCTTATTTTGCATGGGATACTGTTAGGATTACAGGGGAAAACCCACAGGAGGCCTCTCCGGCCCCATGTCTCAGCCCCCCTTGGGATGCAGAAATGGGGGTCTCTTGGTCCTGCTCCTCCAGGACCCGTTCTCGAGGTCCCCCCAACGAGTGTCCTGTTCCTCAGGGGATCCCGGCAGGGCCCGGTCCTGCGCCCAGCGTGGCAGTCCCGGGTCTCGAGGCCCCGCCCGCGCCTGACCCCCCTGGGCCTCGTTTCGTCCGGCAGGAGCGCAGCTTCGAGTGCCGGATGTGCGGCAAAGCCTTCAAGCGCTCGTCCACCCTGTCCACGCACCTGCTCATCCACTCGGACACGAGGCCCTACCCCTGCCAGTTCTGCGGCAAGCGTTTCCACCAGAAGTCGGACATGAAGAAGCACACGTACATCCACACAGGTGAGGCGCCCGCCCCTCGTCTGGCGCCGGGGTTCCCCGGCCACGCCCGCACGGGCCCAAGCAGAGCCGCTCCCCGCCCCCCTCCCTCCCATTGGTAAAAGGTCTCTGCCTCGGACGGGAGAGGCGGGGGTGGGGTGGGGGGGGTTAAGTCACAAAGCGAGAGGCGCTCACCTCCACACAGAGGGCTGGACGCTCTGCTACTTAAGTACACGTTTAATGCGTAGAAAAAAACGCCGGGAAGGGAACGGCCAAAGTGCGATCTCTGGGTCCAAGTGAGACTTGCAGGTGGATTCTCCATTCATTCATTCCTCCAATCGTTCACTGCTTGGCTGTTAACTGAGGGCCCGGACCCAGTCCCCGTCCGACCAGGGTGCAAGCCCGAGGGCGTTGTTTTCCCCTCTCCCTTTTGTAGTTCTTTTCTAAAGCACATGTGGGCTGGCCGCGAGATAACACATAGCAGAGTTTGGCGAACAAATGCAGGGCAGCGGGGCGGCGGGCCTGGCGCCGACAGCCCTGACTCGCTCCTTGCTGCCCCGCAGGTGAGAAACCCCACAAGTGCCAGGTGTGCGGGAAGGCCTTCAGCCAGAGCTCCAACCTCATCACGCACAGCCGGAAGCACACCGGCTTCAAGCCCTTCAGCTGCGAGCTGTGCACCAAGGGTTTCCAGCGCAAGGTCGACCTGCGGCGGCACCGCGAGAGCCAGCACAATCTCAAGTGAGGCTGCACCTGCCCTGGGCTCCCGGCCAGCCCGCCGTGAGGTCCCGTGACCCAGAGGGAGGCCAGCCTCCTGCGCCCAGATCCCCGGTCTCCTGGAGTCAGGGCTGGGCAGGAATCTTTCAGCTTGTTTTGAGACTCAACAGAATTGCTGTGTGACCTCGAGCAAGTTGCTTTCCGTCTCTGGACCAAGATTTTCCTGCTGCAAAATATGAGAACTGGGCTGGGTGTTTTCTGAGCTAAGTTGTTTTAGAGGTCTAAGAGCTTGGGCACCTTCCCTCTCATGGAGCCCAGAAAGCCAGCATAGCCCTCCCCACTCCCCCCAAGGGGATGCCAAGAATAGCCCATCACTGGAATCCACAGAGAAATCCTCCCCCTCTGCCTGTTGCCCACCGTGCTGGGATCTGGTTTTTAGTGGGTCTCCTTCTGACTGCCATGGATGTCCGGAGCTGCCTCTTGTCCCAGTAGGAGGCCTAATACCCCTCTGCTTTGGCCAGATGTGCTGGCTGCCCCCCACTTCTGGCTGGCACTCAGCCGGCCGCGGGGCTTCCGGGCTGGAGAAACAAGCAGTCACTGCTAACAAGAGCCCGTTCCTCTCAACTGCTGTAAATAAAAATAAAGACACAGATTTATTTACATTTAACCAGTGTTCATTGAGTGTGTCCTGGGTGCAAGTTAGGCTTTGGGAAGGGATGGTAGGGAGCTTCGAAAGGCAGAGAAAGCCGGGGCGCCAGGCTGGCTCAGTCGGTAGAGCACGCGACTCTTGATCTCAGGGTCGTACCTTCGAGCCCCATGTTGGGTGTAGAAATTACTAAAAAAAAAATTTAAAACTTAAAAAAAAAGAGAGAGAGGAAGCTCTGGACTGGCTGACAGATGGGTTGGGAGATGTGGCCTCAGACCAAACTGGTAAGCGCAGGAACAGAAGCAAAAGAGCCCGTAGCGGCAAGGTGATGGGGAAGGCGAGGCTCCTGCAGTTGGGGGCTGTATCAGTCTCCGCCGGCTGCTAACCAATTACCGTACGGTTAGTGGCTTAAAACAATACAGTTTATCCTCGTATAGTTCTGGAGGTCAGAAACCCAAAATGAGTCTCACGGAGCCAAGCTCAAGGTGTTAGCAGGGCTGCATCCGTTCAGGGTAGAGGCCGTGGCCGCCCTCAGCCTGTGGCCGCTTCATCCATCTCAAAAGCAGGTGGCTCTGACCTCCGCTTCCATCACGCGCTCCGTTCTTCTGCCTGACCTTCTCTCCTTCCTCTTGGAAGGACCCTGGGATCACATGGGGCTCATCTGGATGATCCAGGGTAATCTTCCCATCTCAAATTTCTTGATGTAATCACCATGGTGTGCTGAATAACGGCCCCCAAGGATGACATCCGAGTCCTAATCCCTAGAGCCTTATATGGCCAAAGGGACTTTGCAGATAGGACTCACTTAAGCTTGGTGCCACCGTTTGCTAGCTGTAGGACATGACAGAGCTCCCTCGTCTCTGGAAGGATTCCCTGAGACCATGCGTGCAGAGCAGTGAGCAGGGCTTAGCACCCGCTAAGTGCTGCCAGGGCGCGAGTAGCCCTTTTTGAAGTCCTGCCCATCCTATGAGGTCTGCTCAAATGCTGCCTCATCCATGAAGCCTCCCTTGGTCATTCCAACCGGAAGCTCTCCCACCTCTGAAGGCTGAGCTTCTTGAGCTCCCCACTTACACCTCAGGACCCACTGAACCTGCTATGGCAGTTATATGTGGGTAACTTTCTCCTCTGCCAGAAGGTAGTCTCCAGTGCCCTCAGCATCAAGCCCACACCTGGCCCACCCAGTGGACACTTCTGAACGAATCTCTTCCAGGTACCAAGCAAGGCCCGGGGTTTCCGCACATTGACTCGAACCAGCACAACCCTCTGCAAAGGAGGTGTCATTATCCCATTTTACAGAGGGGTTAGTGGAGGCTCAGAAAGGTTGGCCAACTTGCCCAAGATCACACAGTGGGCAAGTGCAGAGCTGGGATTCGAATCTGATTCCAAGGCAAGAGGGTCTTCAAGTCTCTGTTTACTTCCTCCCAGTGACACCGGCAGATGCTCCCCCCCACACTGCTCCTTTGCTGTGAACCTGTGGGTTCTGAGGCCTTCTGGGGCATGGCAACCCCCCAACTCCCAGGCTCTGGGTCTGGCCAGCCAGGACTCCTATTACGCTTCATTCCAGTGGCTCTTTCTGTTTACTTCAGCCAGAGTGCCCTGTCAGGCTTGTGGAAGCAGGGGTAGGGGGTTGAGATTTGCATAGAGGGAGGGTGGTCTGGCCTCCTCTGCAGGCTCCCCATTTGTGGGGGTTCCCAGCAGAGCCATGGAGACCACCTGCTCCCTCCTCTCCTCATGTCCATGGACACAGTGGAGGCCAGAGATGGGGAGCCATACACTGGGGCCAGGCCTGGAATGGGTGTTCCATTGCTCCATGTCAGGGGTAAGGGAGGGTGCTGGGCGCGCGCGCGCGCACACACACACACACACACACACACACACGGATGGGGAACTGCTTTGCATGCTCTTTGTTTGCTAAACAAAACCACACCAATATTAGGATTTTGGCCACTTCTGCAGCAGGGCGGGGTGGGGAAGAGAAGCTGAGCTAGACAATGTACCTTTCTTCATCTGCTCAGGCTCCAGCGATCAGCGCCTCCACTGATAGCCCACATGCTGTGTGGGTTGGGGGGGGCACTGCAGCCTCGGAGCCCTGGAGGCCAGAACCCCATTTGCACATTGCTGAGACAGGAGGCCAGGGTGTGGGCAGGCAAATCCTGCTCCCCGGGGAAGACTCAGCCCCGTATGGTTCCTGTGGCCCCAGAAGACAGTCATTGGGGGATTGCAAGCTGCTCTGCATGTGCCCTGAGCCTGGAGTAATGCCACTTGCCCTTTCCCAGCCCCGAACCCTCCCAGGGCTGCAGGAAGCCCAGGGCTGTCACAGGAAGGACGGGCGTCACAGGCAGGGCTGCATTCCCTGGAGAAGGCTCGTAGCTAAGCCAGCACTTTGCAGGCCATGAGCATCCTGTCCAAGTTCTGTCTCCTTCAGCACCGGCATCGGGGCGGGCTCAGCAGGTGCAGTGGGGCACGCCCCCCCCCCCCACCGTCTGTGATTGCAGAGAGGCTCCGCGGTCCCATCCTCCACCTGCCATTCCCCTGCTGCTGCCTACCTGCTCTGAAGTTCCTGCTGAGTCGCCAGAAAACACTGTCGAGCCCAGTGAAGACCTCCCATGGCTTCCCTTTGCCTCATAAGGGGACAGAAGTCCAGAGAGGGGAGGCCATGGCCCAAGTCACACTGCCTGTTAGCAACAGTGTCCCTCAGAAGCCAGGCTCCTGGCCTTCCCCCCAGGGCTGTGGGATCGATGGCACAACTCTAGGGGACTCTGTTTACATAGAATCCAGGGCACGTGGTGGCCTCCGAAGACTGCTGCACTGGCCCGGGTGCTGAGGGCTGGGTGGCTGTCCCTGGGGACACGGGAGACTTCAGGATGTTCTCAGCAACTCCACCTAGAGTAGCAGCTTACTCAACAGTAAATAACAAAGTTAACAATATTAAAATAACACTTTAATATTACAACAAACCAGCCACGCTAGGGAACGGAATGCAACATCTGAATTAATGTTCAGATAAAATGTCCTGTTAGTGGTGGCAGCTTCAGGCCACATCCACCCCGGGACGTGGCCACATCCCACACGGCAGTCAGGCCCTGCCAGCCCTGGGACCAGGGCCCCTGAGGGACAAAGTGGGAGATGCCCAGCGGAACCCTCCATGGAAATAACTGATAAGGATGGAAATGTGTTTCCCAGGGTCAGCCCAGGCTTCTGTGTGTGGCTGAGTTGGCCCCAGCCTGTCCCCGCCTGTCCCCACCCAGAATGAAGTGCAGTGGCCTGGAAGGAACAGAGGGACTGAGTTGAGGAGGCAGGGCCTGGTGCCGGGGCAGGGGAGGAAGTGGTATTATCTAGAATAGGACTTATTCTGAACGTTCCCTAGAAACCAAATGTACCTCCCTCTATCCCCTCAAGAATGAAACCCCAGCCCTTCACCATGACCTAGCCTTCACTGCCCTAGATGGGCTCCCACTCGGTGTGGGGACACACTACCCCAGAGGGAAGGAGCAAGATGAATAAAGGGGTGGGGGTGGGGGTGGGCAGGGAATCAAGGAGACATGACCAGAGAATGATGAAGATCTGGGCTGGCCAGAGGTGTATGAAGCCAACTGGCCACCCACAGTGGGGCAGAGCCGGGTGCCAGCCCCAGACCGCATAAGGGACCCAAGACCCACGAGAATCTTCTAAAGGCACCCGAGCCCTTGACTGATCTGGAGACCAGGCGAGGAGCCCAAGAGACATATCAGCTGAGCTTTTAGAAAGAGGATCCGGTGGGTGGGTGGTGTGGCCCGGGGAGCGCTGCAGTGGGGAGCCTGAGCTCCTCCCCAGCTCCCTGCCCAGGCTGGTCAGGGAGTGGAGGGCTCCCCAAGAAGGAGGGGAAGACACACAGAAGAACGGCAAGGTCATTCTGAGCCGCTTTCCCGGAATTCTAAACAAGCAGCAAAGTCTTCCTCTCAAAAGGCCTTTAGAGAATTCTGGATGCCTCACACATGCATCTTTGCCCATAGTGTTCCCTCTGCCAGGAGCACCCTCTTCCCTCCCGGGAGCCCTCTCTCCACCTTAAACCCAGCTCAAGTGCATGAAAGTTGTCAGCCACGTGTGCTCAGCCCATGACCCTCCACTTCACTCCCAGGAGTTTCTGTTAAAGAAATAGTCACGGATGGGCACACAGATCAGCTACAAGAGCATCTTCTGGAGCCCACTGGCAATGGGGGGAAAAAAAAATCAGAACCACCTAAACTCCCGCGAGAGGAGATGGGAGCGAGGGTGCATCCAGACAACGGACTTCACACAGCCATCGAAAGGGGCCTGTGTGCCTTGCAAGGACTGACCTGAGGGACCTGGGGTCTGCCCAGAGCCCGATGCCTGTTTCAGCAGAGCAGGCTGGTTCCCTAACAGCGCAGCACACCTTCGTAGATCCTTAAAGGAACAAATCTGAAGAGAATCCACCAAACCAATGACCACAGCTGCCTCTGCGGGCTGGGAAGGGCAGCTGGGCTGCTCCCTCCATGGTCGTCTCTAAAGGAGACTTGGATTTGTGTGTGTGTGTGTGTGTGTGTGTGTGTGTGTTTATATTTTTTAACTGAAAAAATTGAAGAGAAAATAGATTTTGCAGAATAAATGTGTCAACATAGGAAGCTGTTCATGATATCTTAAGTGAAAGAGTGGTTTAAAAATCAGTATACACCACCTGATTCCATGTTGTTCCTTGCACACACGGAAGGAAGTTTGCAAGGATAAGGGGCAGCGTATCGACACCGGCTGTTGCTGAATAAAGGAGTTGTGCATATTTCTTCCCCCTGTTTTTCAGTGTGTATGTTTTATTTTTCTGTAGTGGGCACGCATGATAACATTATCACCGGCATTAAAAAAAGGCTCCTTCTGCTCAAACATCATTTCCCTGCTTTGAGGTTTGCCTTTCCGCCCCGCCCCCCAGCCGCGGGCCCAGGGCTCCCTTAGATGTCTGTGCAGCACCACGGGGCGGTTCCTTTCTCCTGACGAGTGCCAGAGGGCTTGCCCCTGCCCACCTCCCAAGC